GCTTCTACTAATTGACGGGTTAAATAACCTGCTTCGGCAGTTTTCAAGGCCGTATCCATCATTCCTTTCATCGCTCCATGAACCGAAACAAAAAACTCAAAGGGGTTAAGGCCTTCTTTTAAAGAAGAAAGAATAGGAGTCTCGATGGTATTTCCTTTATAGTCAATCATGTTACCGCGCATACCGAAAACTTGGGTTAAGTTTTCACTAGTAGCCCGAGCTCCCGAATCTCAAAGGTAATGGAGAGAGGTATCATTTTGCTGACTAAGTTTTTGGATGATTTGGCCTTCTAAATTTTCTTTACATTCGGTCCAAACATTATTTCTCTGCTTAATAAATTCTGCTGGGCTGTAAAATCCTTGCTCGTAATATCCTTCAATTTGTGCCAATTTAGTTTCGCTTTGGCGAAGTATTGCTTCTTTTTCCGAGATTTTTGGTAAATCAAAAAGGGAGATACTAATTCCGGAGCGGGTAACGGCGGCAAAACCTAAATCTTTCAATTGGTCTAAGAACTTTACCATTTCCGCCTGGCTAACTATTTTAACTAATTTACCGAGAAAAACAATAATATCTTTCTTTTTTCAACCTGAGGTACTCTTGGCTAGACCAGTAGCAAGCGATAATTCAACAATATCTTCGGGGGCAGGAGAGTGCTGATGTTGGTTATAATAAGCCAAATCATTAATATAATAAGGAAAATTAGGCGGGAGAATTTGATTAAATTTCCAGCGACCAAGGGTAGTGCGAAGGAATTTCTGTTCATTCCGGTCGGCAACTTGCTTCGCCACTAGGGGCAAGGGAACCACCAAAGGAGTGGCAAGGTCAATTTTTCCCTGGGCGTAATCTTTTTCAATTTGGCTAGTTTCATAGTAAAGAGGGATATTATCGGCGGAGGAAAGGTCTTTAGTTCTCGTTAGATAATAAATACCTAAAACTATATCTTGGGTCGGGGCAATAATTAAGGAACTGTTTTTAGGGTCTAAAATTTGGGAATCGGCCATGACCCGAGTTTGAATTTCTTCTTGGGCCTTTTTAGTTAAAGGTAAAAAAACTGCCATTTGGTCTCCATCAAAATCAGCGTTAAAAGCCACCGTTACTAGGGGATGAAGTTGAATAGTTTTCCCCAAAGTTAAAACTGGTTGAAATCCTTGCATTCCTAAGCGGTGCAAAGTGGGAGCCCGGTTAAGAAGCACCGGACGGTTTTGAATAATTTCATTAAGGAGAGGGAAAATGGTTGCCTCATTTTGGAGCAAGACTTGTTTAGCTTCTTCTAGACTTTTGCCTTCCTTTAAGAGAGCAGAAATTAAAAAAGGTTTATAAAGCACCAAAGCCATTTCTGCCGGAATACCTACTTGTCTTAAAGTCAAGGAAGGGTTAGGGGAGACAACTGAGCGCGCTGAATAATCAACTCGTTTTCCTAAGGAATATTTTCGTAAAATTCCCTCTTTGCCACTTAATATTTGGAGCAAACTTTTGGCCGAACTTTGCTTGGGAAGCCCTTCGCCGGATTGCCGTTGGTCAAAAGCTTTTTGTAATCGCTTTTTTTCATTATGAATAATATCTAAGAAAAGCACCTGAGTCTCAAAATTTTTATTGACTTCCAGGATATGCTTTAATCTCTCATTGGCCAGAATTATTTTTTTGTCGAGGTTATTGATTTGGGTAGTGGCCACGCTGCCATCTTCTAATTTAGTAGCTGGTCGTAAGCCCGCCGGAAGCACTGGTATGTAGTTTAAAACTAGGCCGGTTAGCGGTAACTTATTGCGAATTACAGCTTGGATAAACCGGCGCTTGTTATTGATTTTTTCTAGGCTTCCGGTCGCCGGGGACTCAGCAATTTTTTTTAGTTCGGCTTTCAAATCAATTTGTTTCAATAATTCAGCCAAAGCCAAAGAGCCGGTTTCAATTCTTACTTTTCAATGCTTTCGTAAAAAATCTAAATAATCTTCTAAAAAAACTACTTCTAATTTAATTTCTCTTAGTTCTTCTTGTAATTGGGCTTCTTTTTTTTGTAACTTAACTTGTTCTTTTTCGTTCTCCTTTTCCATTCGTAAAGTTTTTTTGATTTTATTTAGTTCAAGTTGAATTTGTTTTTTCTTTTTTCCTACTAAATCAGTTTGCAACTCCTGAGCCTTTTTAAGCACGCTGGGGCTAACTTTACCGGCTTCGGAATGAATAATTTCTTCCAAAATTTTACTAACTAATTCCGGATCCACTTTGCGGGCCAAAATTTGTTTATTTTGGAGAACCGATGAATTTCCCTTATCGAGGACAATATAAGAATTAAAATAAACCAAATCTTTAATGGCTTTGCCAGACACTTCTAATATTTGTTCCAAGTAAGGAAGCACGCTCTTTAAAATTAAGGTATTAGTGACTGGGCTAACCAAAGCAATATGGCCCATTCGTCAGCGACGAATGTTTGAATGAGCAATTAAGACTTCGCAATTTTCGCACTTTTGGTTTCTAATTCGGCGAGAGCGGTCACTTCGACAAGCACATTGATAATTATGGTTAGGGCCAAAAATTTGCGGACAAAAAAGTCCTCCGATTTCTGGTTCAAAGGTGTTAGCGTTCAGCGATTTGCTATTCTTGATTTCTCCAAAAGAAAGTTTTTTAATTTTTTCGTCAGTTAATCAACTGAGTTTGAGTGATTTAATGGTATTCATATTAGGTGGCAGAAATTTTGCTAAATTGTTTATAGAAGTCAATGTTTTTATCTTGGTAGTCTTGGGCGCTCAAATCAAAGCCAATGGCTCGTAAATATTGCAACAAAAGGTTAAAGGATTCACTTTGGTTATTGCGAATAGTTAATTCGCGGTCTTCAAAAATTAGCGAATGCTGGATTAAACGACGCCAGCTAAGGTCATCCGATTTGGCACCCATCATTTCCAGCAAATTATAGGTGGCACCATGGGCTTCCAAAGCCCAGGCTTCCATCTCGCCAACCCGTTGTCCTCCTCCTTGGGCTCGGCCTTTAACTGGTTGCTGGTGAACCAAAGCATAAGGGCCAGTATTACGAGCATGAAATTTATCCGCTACCATATGATTAAGTTTAATAGTATAAATGTATCCCACCAGTATTTTTTGGTCAAAGGGCAAGCCAGTTTGCCCATCATAAAGTTGGGTTAAGCCATAATCTGGTAAGTCATTTTCTTGGGCAATTTGGGCAATTTGTTCTCAACTAGGAGTATTAAAAGGTCGCACCAAAAGTTTAGTTTGCGACTTATGGGCTACCAATCCTAGTAAAGCTTCTACCAATTGACCAATGTTCATCCGGGAAGGAACGCTTAAAGGGTTAAAAATAATGTCCACCGTTTCTCCATTTTCGTCAAAAGGCATATCAATTTCGGGAACAATTTTACCCACTACTCCTTTATTTCCAAAGCGGGTAGTTAACTTATCGCCCGCTTCAATCTTTCTTTTTTGCATCACACATATTTCGATAATTTCTAAATCGTCTTCTTTGTAATTGTTGCTGCCGCGTTGATACATTTCTTTTCCTTGTCAACGGTTAATTTCGTAAACAATATTCTCTTTTTCTCCCCACGGTAAACGGAAAGAAGAATCGGTAAAGGCGTAGGCTTCTTCGCCGAGGATGCTGGCCAGTAATAATTCTTCGGTTTGTTGTTTCTTGTAAGGAGTTCTTTTGCTAACTAGAATGTCGTTTCCTTTTACTATGGACCCTAACTTGACAATTCCTTCGGGGTCTAAGTGACTAATTTCCGGGCGCGGATAAAACTCTTCTTCTTTGGGTTTTTTATCAATTTTTAAACTTTTACGAATTACCGTATATTTTTTAGCAAATAAAGAAGTCAAAATATCTTTTTCCACTAAGCGTTCATTAACGACAATAGCATCCTCATAATTATAACCTTTTCAACACATAAAGGCCACCCTTAAATTGTGGCCTAAAACTAATTCTTGTTGGTCCTGATAATTACCACAAGCGATAATTTGTCCGGCTTGCACTTTCTCTCCTTTTTTGACTAAGGGAACCGAAGTAAGTAGACTATTAGTGTTAGTAATCAAAAACTGATTAATTGGATATTCTTGCTCTAAGGAAATATTTTTATTTTGCTGAATAGTTTCGGGAGAGGAATTAAGGATTATTTTCTCACTATCTACATACTTTACGACCCCTGCGGAGGCAGCCTTAACCGTTAAGGAAGCATTATCAAGCAAGTAACTTTCAATCCCACTAGCCACTAACGGAGCCTCTCCTTGGAATAAAATTACGGCTTGTTTTTGCATATTGGAAGCGGTTAACATACGTACCGCGTCATTATGTTGAAAAAAAGGAATGCTAGAACTGTTCACCGAGTTTAAATGATAAAAAGAAGTGTCGATAAAGTTAATTTTTTCTTTGGGCACTAAGACAAATTTTCTTTGGTGGCGAGCCTGGACTAGATTCTCCTCAATTAAGTTATGCTCGTTAATTTTAATGTTACAATGAGCAATATAATTTTCTAGTTCTTCCCCCGCGGTCAGGTAAAAAATTTTTCCCGTAACTTTTCCTTGCTCAACTGAATAGTAAGGAGCTAGGACCTGTCCATTTTCATCAACTTTGGCGTTTAAAGTTAAACTACGCACTAATCCGATTTTTTGCCCCTCGGGGGTTTCTACCGAACAATAGCGACCATAGTAGGAAGGATCAATATCCCGCGTGCTGGGGCTGACATTAGTCAAGTTAGACCCCCCTAATCCTAAACGGCTAACTTTGCGAATATGGGAGGCTTCGGCTAAAGGATTATTTTGGTTTTGTAATTGTACTAGAGTAGAAGAATGAAAAAAAGTATTTACTACCTTTTTAAAATTCTGAATTTTTGGCAATTTCATGGGATCGGCCTTTTTAAGTTGAGAGATATTAGCTAAGAACTTATTTTCGATTCCGCGTTTAAAAACTCCAAATTCGTTATTAAAAATGTTATAAAGTAAATCTCCTACTCGGCGGACTATTTGGTTTTCTAAGTTATCTTTTTCTTCCTCCTCTTTTTCCGCTTTTCCTATCCCCTGTTGCAGATTAAGAAAATAAGAAAGCACGGTTAATAAGTCTCCTCAATCGAATCAAGTTTTTTGGTTATCCTCTTCGGCCAAGCCCAAAATTTTGGTTTTTTTGGCTGGTAAATTTGGTGAAACCACCGCCCAAGAATATAATTGACAACCTTCAAAAATCACTACCGGTAAACGTTTTTCCTGGATTAAACTGCGAATTAGGGAAATTTTTTCTGCTTCAAGCATGGTTCCGGCGGCAAAAATTAACTTTCCTGCTTTGTCTTTTAAGTCCTCGGCCAAAATTTGTCCTTGTAAGCGGTTAAGAATATTCATTTTATGGTTGAACTTTTGCCGACCGAGTTTGCCCAGCAAAAAATAAGAGTTTTTTTCGTTAAATAAAAATCGGGGCATAGCTTTATTAGTTTTCTTTTCATTTTTTCCCAGTTGTAAGCTATTTTCCAAAACTTCTTCGGCACCTAATAAATTTAATAAATTTTCCTTAGGAAAAGAAGTTTCCGCAAGGATTTGGTTTAAATCAAAGGTATCTCCCGTATTCAAAAACTTAAATTTTATTCCCAACTTAATTTCTTGCTTGGTGCGGAGATGTAAATTATCCAAAAAAATTCTAATTCACGGACCTTTAAAAGGAATAATTTCTCCGTAAGCAGATTGGCTTTGACGCTCTTGAAAAAAATAAACATTAGGGGCGCGAACGGACTGAAAGACCACTACTTTGTTATGACCATTAATAATAAAATTACCTTGGGTGGTCATTTTGGGAAGTGAACAAAAAGGAACTTCTTTACTTTGTTCATAATAGAACTTAACCGCTAAGCGATTGGGAACTTCACTGGGGGAGGTTCACAGAGTTATTTTCAATTCTCCACTGTCAACTTTCCATTTATTTTCTTGCTCTGTTAAGGCAAACTTGCTACCAATTTTAAATTTAAAACTTTTTTCTATCCATTCGTATAGATTAATTTCTAAAATCTTTTTTTGGTTAACAATTGGAGGAACTGATTCGGAAATAACTTGGTAATGCTCGCAGGTTTTACCTTTAACTTTGGCTTCGGCTTTTTCTTTACTTAATAGGCTTTGGCATTCGGGGCACTTATAAATTTTATTAATTTGTAGCGACTGGACTTCTTCACACGCTCACTTAATAGATCAAGTTAGAAAAATTTTTTGAGCCCAAGTAATTTTTCGGCGGTAGGCTTCGGCTTGCGAAAATTTTGGTTCTTCGAAGCGGAAACTGGCAATTTCTAGACGGATTTGATTGTTGTAATCTTTAAATTGGGCCGGAAAATAAAAATCAAATAACTTAGGGAGGGCTTGGTGCTGAAAATAGTCATAGGACTCCTTTTGTTCTTGAATAAGTTCTTTATCCGGCAAATTCCGAAATAAATCTGAGCGATTAAGGTAACAGTATTCCCTCCGTTGCGTTTTTCCTGAATTAATTAAACGATACAGCATTAATATTAGTCAAGTCTATAAGTTTATTTTTATTCAATTATTTCTACTTTCACTCCTTTTTGTTCTTTTTCTTCTTTGGTTTTTCCTTCTAGAAGTTCTTTATATTTGTCGGCTTTCTCGCGGGGGAATATTTTCTAAAATTGGTTTTTTTTGGTCAATTATTTGCTTGGCATTCATGATATTTATTTGCCCTCCGGCTGATTCTCCATTAATAATATCTCTTACTGCCCCGTAAAGTTTGACCGGTTCTTTGCCTAGTTCAAGTATTTTCAAAGAAACGTTGGCCACACTAGCGGCTTTTTGCTGTTCCCCGCCTTGGGAGGGGGGTGCTAAAGTTTCCTGAATATCAAATTTTTCTTTAATTTGGTTAATTAATTCACTTAACTCAATTTGCTTAGCGTTTCCTAAGTACTCAATAACTTCTTCTTTGCTGATTACCATATTATTTATATTTTTACACTTTTATCATAACCAGAGCATAAAAATAAAAATGAAAACTAACGGTATTAAATCCAATCAAGTAGGTATTTTTTTATTAATAACCAGATAAAAAATTCTAAATAGTAAAAATAAACCGCAACCAAAAGATATTATTCCAAAGCAAAGAAAAGAAAGAAGGAATGATTTTTCCATATCTATTTTTCTTTTTACTCTTTTAACAACTATTAACCAAACATAAGCCGTATTCTGTTCTAACTGATGATTTATCTTATTCTTGCGAATAGCCATTGGAATTCATTTCTTCCTTTGGGCTGCTCCTACCAATAATTTGGATTGCTCGCTAGCGGGGTTTACGTCGTCTCACTTCCTAGGTTTCCCTAGTAATCGTCACTATAGCACTTTTATAGACTAATGCCTTGTAGGAAGAAAGGAGGCGTGGGTTAGAGAACATGACAAAAAAATACCCACTTTAAAATTTAAAACTATTTAGGCACTTTGTCCGCCATCAAGAACTTTCATTCCGGCCCAGAGTTCTTAGCTCTGGCACTAACTTTCCAAGCATCGCAACTTGGGCGAGTACGGACTTTCCTCAATTAGTAAATACTAACTGCCATCAGTGTTTGGTTAGCACTTGCTATATGGACTATATTTTTTTATCCATATATTTATTTTTATAATCAGAACTTTTTTTTAGCTTCATTTTATCTATAAAAAAGCTATGAAATTAAACCAAACCAGGCTTCTT